TCCAATTTAGGGGCACAGAGAAAAGTTCACTAACTACTGATGGAGTTATTTCCAGTGAGCAAATTTCAACTTTAATTTCCTTATGCTACCTGGAAGATGTCCAGGCCTGAGATGATTGCCACTTCTCCCACCTAGTTCAACTTAGTTCAAATCAAGATAATAATAGTTGTACGTTTGCCCTAAAAGACACATTAAATAAAACATATAATTAAACATTTCCACTTTCCTGGAACAATTAGCATATAGAAAGCTAGTGATTACCTTGGACAGTCCTTCTGAAGCAAAACCCAAGCATTTGTAAAGGTCTGTCAACCTTATTCTCATTTGCCAGGGTCCTTCCTGCCTACAAAGGGGGGACCCCAGGAGGCACCCCTGAGTGAGTGTATCTTCAGCTGATCTTTCTTGAGGGATCCTACATCACTTGCAATGACAGTTCAATATGTATAAAAAGACGCAATGCATTTATAATCCCATAATCCTAGCAGTGAAGAAGACAGACTATGGAAAGTCATCTCATTCAACTTCTCCACCCTGACAAGTGGCCATATGGTCTCTAGTTGAACACTGGCACTGCCCAGATGCTTGCTGCCTGCCTTCCAAAGGCAGCCCCTGACATTTTCTAGATAGTTCTAATTCTTGTTCTTTTTTATGTTGAAGCAAAATCTGGCCCATTTGACGTGATACAAGTGGTCTTGAGTCTTCCATCCAGAGCCCTCTTTCACATGGCAGTCCTTCAAATACTCAAAGAGAGTAGTAATTTCTCCTTCTCTTCTTCCTTTTTCTAGCCTGGTTCCCCTCATTATTTCTATGGTGCCATTACTTCAAAGCTTTTTGCCATCCTAGCTGCCATCTTTTAAACACTCCAGTTCATCACTGGCCATGTTACGTGCCTATAATAGTAGTAGTTTGCATGTATATAGCACTTTAAGGTTTATCAGGTAATTTCTATACATTGTCTCATTTGATCCTTATAACAACCTTGTGAAGTAGGTGCTATTATTATCCCTGTTTTACAAATGAGGAAACTGAGGAAGATAAAGGTTAATTGGCTTGTCCCAGGGCACACAGCAAGTTAGTTTCTGAGTTACGATTTGAACTCAGGACTTTCTGACTCCAGAGCCAACACTACCCACCACTCTACCTAAGTGACTGAGTATAGCACCTCAAACTGAACAAAATACTTTAAACCAGAGGTTCTTTGACTTTTTTATGTGTCCTAGACCCCTCTAACAGTCTAGTGAAGCCCCTGGAACCCTTCTCAGAAGAATGATTTCAAGTGCACAAAATAAAATAGGAGTTTAAAGAAAATGGTTATCACCATGTTTTTTTAAAACAAGTTCATGGATGCCCCATTAAGAACCACTGCTCTAAATGTTGTCTAGTCAGGACAGTATGTGGTGGAACTGAGTTAGCCACTATACTTTCATTAATGCCTCCTAAGATTTCACGAGTTTGTGGTCAGCTGAAAACCATAGCCCTGTTGCATAGGAGCTGCTACGGAGCGGGTAATTATTTACAAGGCACACCACACTTCCTCAGGATGTACTTAGGAAAGCAAAAGAATATTACATTTCCCACAGGTACCCATTCTACAGGGTAAAGAGCAGTTCTGTACTCACCCAGCCTTATACCTTTCTACCATTTCTGGATGCAATCCTCTATTTTTTTTTTCCATTTGATCTTTATAACAACCCTGGGAGGTAGGTGCTATTGTTGTCCCCATTTTACATTTGAGGAAATTGAGGCACACAGTGGTTAAATGACTTGCCCAAAGTCACACAGCTAGTAAATGTCTGAGGCTGGGTTTAAACTCAGATCTTTCTGACTGTGGGCCATTGTGCCATCTAGCTGTCTCTGCTGTATTCATTACAATGATAGCTTATCATCTTGAATTTTTATGCCCCTCCCCCCCTTTTTTTCAATTTTCAGGGCCTTTATCCAAGTTCCATATCATTTGATTCTTGTAGCAATATTGTAAGGTAGGAGGACACATCTCTTTTTTGCAGAAGAGGAAGATAAAGGATAGGCTAATTGGCTTTCCAAAGGTCACTCTGCAACTCAGTAAACAAGCATTTATTAAGTGTTCACTGTGTACTGGGTACTGTGTGAAGTACAGGGATTACAGAAAATTTGGCAAAAGCAGTCCCTGCTCTCTGAGTCTAAGGGGTGAGACTACACATATGTGTGTGTATAAATATATGTGTATATGTATGTGTATATACATATATACACACACATACATATAGATACACATATACAGATACACACATACACCTACAAGATGAATAGAGTCAATAGGAGGTTATCTAAAAGAAAAAGATGCTAATAGCTTAGGATACTAGCAAAGTCCCCTGCCAAGCATGGGCTTTGAGCTGAGTATAGAAGGAAGCCAGGGAACTTGAGAAACAGACGTGAGGAGGAAGTCCAGGCATGGGACCAACCAAATGCCAAGGCACAGGGATACTGAGAGGGACCCAACCTGACCTAGAACTTCCACCTCCTCACTCCCAAGTAACTTCCCGCTGGCCCAATCTACAGGGAAGCCACTTGGGATCACCAGTCAACTCAACAGTAATTATTGTTAGGTACTTTTGACAGTTTACAAAATATTTCCCTTGCCACCTCTCTGTAGGACTCAGAAGGGTGAGGTGAGTTACCTGAGATCATACAGCTAGTAAGGGACAGAGCTAGGACTAGGCCCAAGGCCCTCTGATTGTCAGCCTAGTGCCCTTTTTAGTACATCTCTGTCCCTTGAGGGCACTCCATGAAGGCAGGGGACATATCTATGTGGGCTTCATGTTCAGGGTTACTAAATGAAGTCAAGGTACTGGAATGGCAAGGAGCCAGTAGTCTGGATTTAGAGGAGGTACTAGCCTATTCATATTTGCACCAAAGTCTGACTTTTCCCTATATCTACCAGCTGCAAGAAGAGCTAATATAATCTGAAAAAGCCTATGGACTGTGATCTCCAGTTTTTGGAAAAAAAGAAGAGTCAGGATACAAGATATCTTGTATCCTCTCCAGGGAGACTAAGCATGGACTATTACATTTTTGTCTTTGTACTGCTTATGGCTAGTCAAGTGCCTTGCACCAAGTGGTGCTTAATAGATGTTTCTTAAATCGAACTAAATGTCATCTAATTACTTTGAATAAATATATAGAATCATAAAATTTTAAGACCGGAAGTTACCTTTAAAAAGTAACCTAAATTCATTCAAGACCATACCTAAACCAATCGAAGAAGACCAACAGAGATTTCTCTCAGTCCTCCATACCAGTATTTAACGCTATCTCCACCCCCTCCAACATCTTCCCAAATGCCCCCAAGTGAAACAATGAGAGATGGGTATTTTATGGCCCAAGTGACCCCAGTCATCCCTCCTTTAAACTTCTAGTCCTGGATTAAAGGTTATTATTATTATTTCTCTGTTCATTTCTCTGTACCCTCTATCAGAGTAAGCCAAGAGAAAGAAAAGGAAATAAAATTACAAACAGTAAGTCTGACTGTTTCACTGCTGGTTGAACGAAGAGCTAGATAGCTGTGGAAGAAGAGGAGATTGAAACTAGAAAATAAAATGAGGTTTTTGAAATTCTGGTGTATTTTATTTATCCCTGAAGGATCCTGGACCCCAGGACTCTATTTCTTCTCTTTTCTCTCCTCATCCTCTCCCTTATTATCTCATCTGTTCTCATGAACTCAAGTATCATTTCTCCAAAGATAACTACTAGTGGTAGATATTGAGCTCTGATCTCTCTCCTGAGCTCCAGCCCAGCATCTCCAATTGCCTACTAGACATCACCTCCTTATTTCAAACTCAATATGTCCAAATAATGATAGATTGGAAAGAATACTGACTTTGTTGTCAGGAACCTTGGGTCTGAATCCCAGTTCTTCTACTACTGCCTATGTGACCTTGGGCAGGCTCTTTGGACCTGAACTTCCTCATCTGCAAGGGGGTGAGACTGCATAACTTCCAGTATCACTTTCAGCTTTAAATCTACAATCTCTTGATTCTCTTCCAAATACTTTTCTCCATTTCCAGCTTTTCCCATCTCCAGCTGCTTATTCAAATCCCTTAAATTGCTTTTCATTCCACAAAAACAAGTCTTGACATGTATGGGAACTTGCAATAGAGAACACAGTGACTCAGAGTCATAGGATTATTAATACTCGAAGGGATGATACATGCTAAGGTGTGAAGGACTAAAATAAGACTCTTTTGTGATCAAAGGTTTTAATGGAGGAAGAGTAGAACACGAGAGCTCTGGGAACTTACAGTTCAGGGACAGAATGTTATTAGCTAGGGGAAAAGGTAAAGAAGGTGGAACCTTAGAGCATCTTCACAAGTTTGCATAGGGTCAGAGACAAAAATATAAAACATTAGAATTAAGAGGAGCCTCAAGAGCAACCATATGGTTCAGCCCTATTCGTTTTCTTGCCTGAATAGTTGAAGTGACTCACCCCACATCACACAGGTAGTAAATAGAAAAGCTCAGGCTAGAAGACCCTGATTTCCTGACATTCAGTCCAGGACTACAGCATTCTGTCTCCTGTCTCTATTGCACTATCCATCTGAAAGACAAGATTACATATTTCAAGTCCTGAGAGAGATACTCAAAGAATTCTTGGAGTTGGTAACATAATGTTGTAGAAAGTGACCTGGATTTGGCATCTATCTCCCGAACTCCAGTCATGAATTACTAATTGCTTACTAGACGTCACCTCCTGGATGTCTTATGGACATTCTAATTCAGTACGCCCGAATCATGGTACATTAGAGAGAATGCTGAATTTGACATCTGCTGCTCCCTATATCAAGTAAAAGGACTTCAACTTGAATACTGGTTCTGATGCTGACCTATATGGTACTGGGCAAATCATTCACTTCTCTACGCCACAGGTCCCTCATCTATAAAATGAGGATGTTGGACTAGAGATCTAAGGTTCCTTCTAACTCTGTCTATGATCTGATTGTGTTAACTTTGTTTTCTCTCTGCAGTTATTTCCTCAGCACAGAGGATGAACCCAGAAGAAGACACCTATACAGGTATGATTTTGAACTTTCTTCCCTTATACATGCATGGGTCACCTTGAATAGCGAGGTATTTAAGTCCCTGAAAAATGTCCAGTTCCATCCCATGTGGTCACTGTACCCTACAACACATATTGTACTTATGGGAGAGATAGGAAAAGGAGAGCTCTACCATTTAAAATCAGGGTTAGTGATTCCCAAGATACATTGCTTTTCCCTCTTTTCAAGAAGTAAATTTTTCTCATTTTCCCTATTTTTCTAATAAGTAGATGTCTTCTAGCTACCTACTCTATTAAGTTATATTAAAATACTGACTTTGTGATTTTAGTCTTATTTATTATTTATTACTTATTATTTAGTGATGACGCATTAGGAGTGCAGTAGAAGGAACATCAGACTTAGACCCATGAGACCTGATTTCTAGTTGCTCTGGTGATTATTTTTTTTATGACCTTGGGTGAACCACTTAATTCTTATAGGTTAGTTCAGTATAACTTGAAAGGCAGAAATGATCCCCTCTAATCCCTTATTTTTACAAGTTCTTTATCTGTAAAATAAGTAGCTTTGACAAGGTAGTCTCTAAGGTTGCTTACCAGCTCTAAATTTTGTGATCAACTGCCATTCTTTCCTAGGAGAACTTTTGGCTGAGAAATGGGGTTAGTCTTTGGAGCTTGCATTCCATGTTCCAGGGTTCAAGATTAATGTTGCCATCCCTGCTATGTTTCCTAGTTAACAACCATAGTTGAAATAATAGACCCAGACTCTGACTATCCAAGTTGTCTAACAACCACTTCAAAGGAAGCTAACAGCACCCAGCAACAACACATTAGTCCTAATTAGGCAAATGTTGTACCCTAGTGAGATATCAGAGAGGTCACTTTCAGACGATTGGATATACTCATCTGACAGCCATTTGCTTAGCACCTCCCCTGTGCAAAGAACAATGCTAGGCAATGGGAAAGATACAAAGATAATTTTAAGGCATGATTCCAGACGGGAGTCAGCCCATCTCTGAACAATCTATAAATCCAGAACATATATGCAGGCCTCAGGTGGGTACAACCTGATGCGATGGGAAATCCTTCACTGAATATGGCATCTCATCGGGTTGAAAGTTCCTTTCAATGGTATAGATCAGGGGTTGTCAAAGTATAGTCTGCATACCTGTGGAGATCTCTGAGGCACTTTCAGGGGGTTCTTGAGATCAAAACTATTTTCATAATAATACCAAGACTTCTTTATCTATTAAAATACTCCTCTCTTTTCCAACTATATATGTTTGTGATACCATATTTCCTTCTTATGCTTCAACCAAAACAACATATCTCAACAGATTGAATGCAAAAGTAAACATAAGAATTTATCTGTCTTCTCTTAAACCAGATATTAAGGAGATTTGCAAAACTACATAACACATTGTTACTCTCCTCACTAAATTTTCTTGGATTAGAAAATATGGTTACTTTTCACAAAAATATGTGCATATTAGCATGCAGTGGGTTTATTATTGTTGTTTTAAATTAATTAATAAATATTTTTAAAAGTTATCCATTTTAATTTCTAATATGGTAAATTTTGATAGATATAGTTCACATAAACAAAAGAATTTTAGAGTCATCAATAACTTTAAGAGTCTAAAGGGATCCTAAGACCAAAAATTTGAGAACTGCTGGTATAAATCATAGCTCATCCACGCCTCCTCTTCTGTCACTCTTGTCCATGTCTTCCCATAAATCCTCCACAGAGGATCCACTCAATGTGCAAAGGGGCTTAATTTTTGCCTCCTGATATTGCATGAGTACCAATATAGTGCCCAGGCTGTTACTGTTCAGCCTTTTGGTAAAGCTGCATGCTTAGTACCTTGCCTCCACTTATAGCAGTTTGCTGATTGCTCTTCCTCAGTATATTTCTATAATTTTGATCAATAATAAAGACTGCAGTGCTGCAGATATATACAGAAACTGTTACTGGAAATTAAAAGTATAAAATTGCCTAAAACATTTTCAGTCTTCTATGAGACTCAATTAAGAGATCGCTTATGACTTGGGGAATTAAGGAAGGCTGTATGAAAAAGGAAATAACTGGGCTTGACTTTTAAGAATGAAGATTTCAGTGAAAGTAACAGGGAGAGAGGCACATCTTCCAGATTTAGCCCATTTGCCCCCAATAATGCTGTAAACAAAGACAAGGGGAAGCAGGAAAGCAAAGAATATGAAGACTGAATAGATTGTAAGCTCCTTGAGAGGGGGGACCTCATCTCATTCATTTTCATGTTTCTCACAATGCAGTGATTTATACATTGTAGGTACAAGATAAATGTTTGTGGAAGGAGGGAAGGAAGGAAGGAAGGAAGGAAGGAAGGAAGGAAGGAAGGAAGGAAAGAAGGAAGGAAGGAAGGAAGGAAGGAAGGAAGGAAAGGCTGAAAGAAAATAATCCAGTCTGGTTGGAGAAATTATCTCTTTCAAGAGTAGTGGAAGAGACATTTGAAAAGATATTTTGGAGCCAGACTATGAGAGACCTTGGATGGCTAAGTGGTTTGACCTTTTTTCCATGTAAAGCATGGGACTCTATTGAAGATTTCTCTTCTGCTAGATTATCCAGCCTTTGTTCACACTCTATCTCTGTCTTTGTTTTATTAGTGCTGACACTGAAGGCACCTACAATAGGCAGTGCCTCTCCTGTGAATTGATTGAAAATTGTACTTGCTTCAGTGCGTCCTTCAGTCACAACATGGACTACTTCTTGCTGAAGTGTGAAGGTAAGTACTTGACATGATTTCAAACCTCTTCTTGTGAAATGGAGCTCTGGGCATGTCAGGATAGAGAATCTCTCCCAGGGTGAGCTCTCATCCTCAGTCCTGGCAAAAAGTCCCTACTCCCCATATGGCCCATAGAAAAATGGCGCCAAGGAGATGGTGCTGATTGAACCAAGTGCCTTGGGAAATTGCTGAACATCCATCTGTGTACAGTCTTCTAGGTTAGCTGTCAAGGCTGCACTCTTATAAAAATAATTTCTTTTGTAAATGTTCAACCAATCTCATCTGAGAACTTTTTCACATATTGGATTTAATAAATTTGTGTTCCATGAAGTGACTTCTGCTAGGTGATTGTAGCACTGAGCTGGCAGAGGACATCTGCGTTGGGTCACTGCTTTTTTTTTTTTTTTTAGGCAATTAGGGTTAAGTGACTTTCCCAAAGTCACACAGTTACTAAGTGTTATGTGTCTCAGGCCAGATTTGAACTCAGGTCCTCTTGACTTCAGGGCTGGTGCTCTATCCACTGCACCACCTAGCTGCCCCAATTCTTTTTTTTTTTTTTTGGCAAGGCAATTGGGGTTAAGTGACTTGCCCAGGGTAACACAGCTAGTGTCAAGTGTCTGGTCTGAGACTGGATTTGAACTCAGGTCCTCCTGACTCCAGGGCCAGTTCTCTATACACTGCACCATCAATCTGCCCCTAGGGTCACTGCTTTATTAAGGGTAGGGAGTTTATCCACCCCTCTCCAACCCTTTTCACTTCTTGGAACAAACTTCAGAGAATTCTTTCTAACCTAGCTTCTACCCTTCTCCCTATACCACTGTAAAGGACAAGTCTCTGTAGAATCCTGCTCCCTCATGTGTCTGGAATATGCAAGAAAAATAGTGCCCAGCAGCTGAATTCAGCCATACCATTCCATAAGGTGTTACGGAGATCCTGCTGTTGTAGGATATTCATCTGTTTAAAGAAACAACAGGAAAAATCCTAAGACTGCTTTTCTTGCTTTTAAAAAAGTTTAAATTGCACTCCAGATATGATATGTGGGAGCTGTAGAAAGTCATGAGAAGAGATAGTCTTGTTATAGCAGCTCACGTAGAAGATAAGGCAGACCAAAAGAAAGTAAAATAGGGCACCCAGGCAAAGGGAGGGGGAAGGGTCAGGTGGGATGGGAGGAGGAGTAAGGAGAACATGAATAAATACGTAGCGCCTTTCATATACCAGGCACTTTGATCCTCACAATAACCCTAGGAGGTAGGTGCTATTCTTGTCACATTTTACAGTTGAGGAAACTGAAGTAAACCAAGGGACATATGTGAGAAGGATCTAATTGCCCTCCACCACGTCAGCCACAAAGGCGAGCCCCACCACCATTGGTTAGAAGTGATGACGGATTGTAGAGACAGATGACAATTTAGAACATCTCAAAGTCTTATAAGAATGAGTGATCGAGGTGTCACAATTAAACTTTGTTTTTAAATTTCTATTTATTAATAATTTGTAATAAAAGCCAACTCCCTAAATTCTTTATGAATATACAAAGGACATGATATTTGCCATTGGCACACACCCACTCTGTAAAGTTATTTGAGTAAACACAAATCCATTCATTTTTATTTCATTAACAGATCCCTCCATGGTGCAGTGATGTTTCATTTTGACATTTCCTACCCTCTACAACTCTAGCCTTGACTATAATTCTTTATTTGTTCTTATTTTTCTTTGGGTACCCAATTTACAGGTAAGAGGACTAATTGAGCAACAAAAGACATTAGAAAGCACTGTTCCTTGATTAAAGATCATAGAATATCAGACCTTTGAAGGGATTTTGAGAGTCACTCGGTTTATCCTTGTCATCCAGCAAATTCTCATTAGGAAGGGAGGAAAGGGAAGGATAGGGATCCTAAAGGCTCAAATGTAATCGTTTTAACTGTTTGAGGACAGAGGATATTATCCAGGAATAATTTTCCATTTGCAGATAAAGCAAACTAAACGTTGCATTTTACAACTTAGATTTTTTTAAAAATAGAAATAAATACCACCAGGTCCTCTCACCTCAAGGTTTGCAGTCTGATCTAAATTCTTAAGGAGAAAATTTCATTATTTAAGTATTGCTCTTTATTGGATACACACATATTGCAACTATAGAGCAAATGAGCAGACAATCTAGTGCATAAATAAGAAATGGAAGACCTACTAGCTAGCATCCCCCTCTTGACTTAGACTCATGGAATATCAAAGCCAGAAGGATCTTTGACATGACATTTGGTCTAACCTCGTCGTCAGATAGCCTTATATCTTGGGAGTCAGGGTGGGGAGCAGGGGAAGCAGTATATGAATACTAGGAATGCCATCAATTACTAAAGCTTCAATATTGGCAGGAGAATAACATTTACATAATAGTTGGGAGTTCACAAATCATTTTACATGTATTATCTCATTTGATATATTTGGTAAAATCTCATTAACAGATTACCTTCATGATGAAGTGACCTTTCATTTTTGCATTTTCTATCCTCTATCTTTTTTGGCAGATCCTTATTTGTTCATTCTTCTCTTTGAGCAATTTTAATTTTTTAAAAATAATATTATATTTCTCCAATTACTTGTAAAAACAATTTTTAACATTTGTTGGGTTTTTTGAAGTTTTGAGTTCCAAATTCTATCCCCCTCTCCCTCCCCTCCTCCTTTACTGAGACAATAAATAATCTGATGTAGATTATACATGGAGTAACTTTAATTTTGAAATTAGTTCATTCTAAAAGGCAGCTGGTAGGGCAGTGGCTAGAGTATTCCTCTTGGAGTCAGGAAGACCTGTGTTCAAATCTAGCCTCAGATACTTACCAGCTCTGGGCAAATCATTTAACCTCTGTTTCTCTCAGTTTCCTCAACTGTAAAATGGAGGTAACAATAGTATCTACCTCAAAGACTTGTTGTGAAAATCAAATGAGATAATATTTACAAAAAGCACATAGCACAGTGCATGGCACATAGTAGGTGCTATATAAATGCTTATTCCCTTCCCTTCCCCCAAAAGAGCCAAATTTTTAAGAAAATTACAATAGGCTCCCTTGTAATGGTTTCATTCTAATCCTTGGCTCTTAGTGAGGTAGGCTTAGAGGCAATGAGTTCAAGTAACCATGTGTGCCAACTTGTCTTAAAGAGTTAACCATTTGTCATCTGTCTTGGTTCCTATAGGAAGAATTCCTGTTAGGAATCAGAAAAACCAGGTTCTAATTAGCCTATTATACCTTGGCCCAATCTCTATGGGTCTCATGTGTCTCATCTGTAAAATTAAGTTTGGATTAAGTGATCTCTAATAATTTCCCTTCTAGCCCAAACATTCTATGAGTGATGTGCTGAGATACCAACTTCCTATACCCTCATTGGGAGGGCTCATGCGATCTGACCCTCTCTTTAAGAGGAGAGCAAAATTTGAGGCAGTATGGTAGAAAGAGAAGAGTGTTAACCCCAGAGTCAGAGGGATTAGGTACAAATCCAGCTGCTCACTCTTACTATCTGTGTGATCTTGTGCAAGTCACAATCTCCTGGGACCCCAATTCTCTCATCTGTAAATTGAGGTAAAGATTAAGTAGCCTCTCAGGTCCTTTCTGGCTCTGCATCTATGATTCTATAATCAAGAATACAGTGTACTATGTAGTAAACTATAAATAGAACTCTATAAGTAGAATGCCATATATGATAAAGACCAATGTGTACATAAAGAAAGCTATTGATAGATCGTACAATACTCTGGCTCTCCAATCCTCTGCACACACCCCTCTACCCACCCCCATTTCTCTCTCCTTTCTCTCTCTCCTATCTTCTCTTTGTCTGTCATTCTCTCCTCTCTCTCTCACTCTCACCTCTCTCTCTTCTCTCTTCTCTCTTCTTTCTTGTTCTTTCTCTCCTCTCTCCTTTCTCCTTTCTCCTCTCTCTCTCTGTTTCTCTCCTCTCTCTCTCCCTCTCTCTCCTTTTTCTCTATCTTCTCTCTCACACTGTCTCACATGTACAAGTATACACTCATATATTTTATATATTTTTTCATGTATTCATATATACATATATGTTCATATATTTAGAGTTGAAAAAGACTTCAGAGGTCATCTAGTTAAATCCCTTTATTTGACATATGAGGAAACTGAGGCCCAAAGTATTTAAGTGACTTGCCTCAGGTCACATAAATGGTAGATTATCCCTAAAATCTCCTCCATCACTTGCATTTTATAGTAAAGCCTTCCTAAAGGTAAGCCTGGCTATTCTAGAAGGAGGATCCCTCCTTTTTTGCTGTCTCAGTCCTCTGTTTTCCTTGGGTTTTCCAAATATTTCCATTCTAAGTGTTACCTCAGCCTGAGGCTTTTTTCCCTTCCAAATCCTATATCTGTGATAACATTCAGTCTGAGCCTCTTTAACATTTCCCATCATGCCACTGTAAATACAAGCCATGGTATTCTGCTTCATTGTCTTGGGGCAAAATTGAGCCCAATGGTGATATGGATGCTATGGTAACTTTGTGCAAGATTTGTGAGTCTCCAGCCAAATCCACCATGCCCCCGTAGCCCCCAAGCAACTGAACCAAAGATTCCAATTTACATGATTTAAGTTTCACTTTCACAGCATCAATTTGGGGGCATTAGATCCTTCTTCTCTTGAAACTATATCCCAGGAACATGATTGATTCTCTTCCTAGCTTGTCAGAAGAACCTCATCAATCCTGTTCCTAAGAAACCTCTGAACACCATCAGAAATGGGAGCAGTTCATGAATCAGCAGCAAACTGCGTCCTTTCTTAAAATGTGGCTCAATTCAAAGCTACTTTCACCAGACCCCTGGAATGCTCCTTATGTTTCCTTTGGTGAAGGGCAGGGCACAATCTGTGTTTCAGGAAGTGTCTAAAGCCTCAGGCTTCGAACTCCCCGGATGCTCACAAACTCATTTCTAAGGTCAGGGGGCTGGTGACATCAAACTAGAATCAGCAGACTGAAAGATCTCTGATATTTCTTCCAG